CCATGATACGCTGCTACGACTTAAAGGAGGCCTTCTACTCGGTTGTAGTCCAACTGGTACATGGTATCCCAGGTGAAGAGGACGAAGTCCAGGAGGTGCTAGAGAACCTCGAGGTTCCCCTGTGGGCCCAGCCGCAGCTGGAGCACCTCATGGCCAACCCAGGGATACTCGACACAGTGTTGGACGGCTCCCACCTGGCTGCCCTCATTGCAGAAGGATATCGCAACAGGTGGACATCACACAGGTTTTCCCAGAACCTTATGGCACCGCACAAGGGCACGAGGCCTGGCGTGCCCCTGGCCGACGCGGACTTCAATCTGCTATTCGGCCGAGTCCACCGCATGATTGACAACTACCTGGCGCAGCGAGGACTACGACCTCAGGGCAAGCCTCTTGACAGCAGCTTCGCATGCGACAACGACCCCACAGATGGGCCACTCCAGGAGCAAGAACCACATGGCCTATCGTTTGTCGATGACCTAACGGGCATGCACGTGTTCACCAGCCCCGACCACATTCAGCATGAGGCCACCGAGTTCTGCGAAGCCGTCTACTGCGCCGCCAGCACCTTCGGCCTCCAGCTGCAACTCACCAAGACCAAGGTGATGATTGACTTCAGTGGGCCTGGGAGCCGGCAAGCGCGGGCCAGTTTCTACTCCGAGGGAGTGCCGAGGATCGAGGTCCCCCTCGCAGGGAGTTACGTCGAGGTGGTTCGTCACCACAAGCTCCTCGGGACCTACGTGACCGACAATGCATCCCCTGGGGTGGATGTCGCAGTGAAGGTAGCCACTGCAGCGACATCCACGAGGCCTCTCCATCGAAGTCCACAGGCGATCAGAGCTGGCAATCAAAGACAAGGCCTATTTAGCCGACAGCGTGGTGCTATCCCAGCTATTATACAATGCGTCTACCTGGCCCGAACTCACCGCAGGCCAGGCCAGGAATTTCAACAACCAGTACATCGTCAACTACGCTGCGGCGCAGAGGATCACTTGGAAAGTACGACAGAAAAAGGAAGTAACGAACACCCAGATCCTCGAAGGAGTCGACAAGCTGCCCCCAGAGATAGTCCTGCGACTTGAGAGGTTACGGCTATTTGGCAGATGCCTCAACTGGGGACCCCTGCACCTCCGCCGGCTACTTAGCCAAGCATGGGACGGTAGCTACGGCTGGGTGGCACTGCTCCGCCGAGACCTGGATTGGGTCCGCGACCACACAGGACCTGACGAGCGTGGTGGAGCATACACGCTCGAGGACTGGAAGGACTGGGCCAGGAACGACTACCAAAGCTACCTCAGCGCAGTAAAGAAAGCTTGCCAACGTGGCAAAGCTCGCCAGTACGACCACGACCACCATGCTCGATGGAGGCTTCGACTCCAACGGTGGACCAACACGGAAGCCATCTCGTCCTTCCCAGACCAGCATTTCGAGCATCAGCGCAAGTACTTATGCTACCACTGTGGACGTACTGAAGCCAGCGCAGCAGTGCTACGAGCACACATCACCAAGGACCACACCTCGTCGGGTCATCCTATTTCGTGGGCAACTGGTTCGGTCTGCTACGGATGCGGCATGGATTATCATACTACAAACAGGCTGGTCAAACACTTGCTGAGAGTGCGCAAGTGCGCTCGACATTGGAGAAAGACGCGCCCAGCAATCCTAAGTAGAGCCGAGCTGCAGCACAACCAGCAAATTGTCCGCGACCAGCAGCAGGCGAACCGAAGGGCGGGCAGGCCTATCGACTGGGCAGAGAAGCCTGCAGTCCCTGCTCGCCCTCCAGAAATACATACGGACGAGGACAGCGACGACAGCAACGGCGGCCACTACGAGAGCCTTGAGCTGCCCTTCGTTGAGGAGCAGCCACCGCCGCCAGCCGCTGTACCGAGGCCCAGACCAGCTCGGACGTTATATGTGCTGCATCTATTCAGCGGCCGTCGCCGAGACGGAGATGTTCAGGACTGGTTTGACCGCCTCAGCAGTCGGGCTGCTTGCGACATACACATGCTCAGCCTGGACATCGCCAACGACCCGACCTTCGGCGACCTGACATCTGAGGTCGCAGTCAGCAAGTGGCGAGACATGGCACAAGCAGGAAGAATTGCAGGAGTCATCGGCGGACCGCCGTGCGAGACCTGGAGCCGAGCGCGCCACTTGCCCCCCAATGGCTGCAGGGGTCGGCCACCAAGACCCCTAAGGGGCGGCAGTAGCCTGTGGGGCTTTCGCTACCTTTCCCGCCCAGAGATGGAGCAAGTAGCGACAGGCAACCGCCTATACAGGACACAGCTGGAACTTATGTACATGTGCCTCAATTTGGGAGTCCCAGGCATGCTCGAGCACCCGTCTGAGCCCATCGAGGAGCACTTCGCCAGCTCCTGGAAGCTTCCCGAGATGCGCCATCTCCTGAACCAGCAGGGAGTCGAGCTGATCACCTTCGACCAGTGCACCTGTGGAGCGCGCTCGAGGAAATCCACAAGCCTGATGGCGGTATCCCTACCAACCCTCCGAGCAGAAATCAGGAGACTGCCTGGAAGTGGAAGGTGCTTTCACACGGCCTCCTACCATGCGGAGCTGGCAGGCATCAACGATGAAGGCCAGTGGCGCACCGCGCCGGCCAAGGAGTACCCGAACAGGATGTGCCAGGCCATCGCGACCGCACTGGTGAAGCAGATCAGGTGGCGCTTTGGCGAGTCGCCCAACGACGTCCAGGGGTGGCACATCGACGACGACGTGGCCCACTTCTTCCAGCCGCTCGACCACTACAAGACCAGGGAGATGGGTCAGGACTACTATCGAGGCAGCAGGCGGAACGGCTCACCGACCTGGCTGGAAGAGGCAAGGGAGTGGGCCCGGCAGGACCGACCCGACAAGGCAATCGGCAGGGCCACCACCTCGACAGGAGCTGTTCGGGCACAGGCTGACAACGAGGATCGTGACGAAGCGCCTTGACGACATGTACAAAAGAACCAGAACGCAAGTCCTGAGGAAGCCCCGAATGCGTGGGAACACCTCAGGCTACGTCGCCAAGTTTTGCACAAGTTGTCAGGACGCAAGACCTGGGGAAGCCCCGAATGCGAGGGAACACCCCAGGCTCACGTCGCCACGTTTTGCATAGCGACGGACACGGCCGCCGTACAGCCAGGGCTCAGAAGTACCAGCCCGATGACCCCAACTGCACCAAGCACCAGTCAACGTTGCCCTGGTGAGGCAAGGATCAAACTTCGAGACGGGCTCGAAGGGCGGGGGGGCAGGACGAGGACTGCCCGCGCCCACCAGGGGGGATGGTGAGGGGCAGGGGGGGGGCAGGACGAGTACTGCCCGCGCCCCCGCGGTCCGCCCTAGCTCGCCACCCCCACCATTCCCATGGCGGAGACGGAGCTCCCGAGCGCCCAAGGGCGTAGCATAGGGCAGCGTTGACCTTCCTCATCGACAGCAGAAGAATCACCTGGCCTGGGGTTCGCCCCCACCGAGGGCACCGTGACCCCTAGCCATAGCGGGACGAGGCAGGGCCGCCATGAACCCTGCTTGAAGTCGGTGCATGGAGGCCAGAGTGCGCCCGCAATCTATTCCACCTACCAGCAACAAGCCGACCCCCATCGACCTTAACCAGCACGACAACTACTTCATCGGCTGAGACCCGTACCAGGAGAAGAGCCCAACGCAGTCAACCAGTTCATGACCAAGGTGATTGTGACAAGACGAAGAGCCCACCAGCAACGAGGCAGGCTCACTGGCACATCGAGGAGGCCGACCGCGACGCGGAGCGCCTCGCGCTGGGCCAGAAGGAGAAAATGCGGAAGCCGACGGCATCGCGGAGCTCCTCGCGCTGGGGACCATCGCGGAGGCCGACGGCACCATGGAGCTCCTCGCGCTGGGGGCCAGGCGATGGAGGCCGACGGCAACGCGGAGCTCCGCGCGCTGGGCCAGCTGGCGCACAGCTGGGAGGCCAAGCGCTGAAGCTCCCGCAGACCGGCGGCAACACAGAGCTCCTGGCGCTGGACCAGCAGGTGCACCCGGCGACGCACGGCGACGCGGAGCACCTCGCGCTGGGCCAGAGGGAGCGCATCATGGAGGCCGGCGGCAACGCGGAGCTCCGCGCGCTTGGCCAGCTGGCGTACAGCTGGGAGGCCAGGAGCGGAGCCCCGCAGACTTGCGGCAACGCAGAGCTCCAGGCGCTGGACCGGCAGGTGCACACCGCGGACGCACGCGCGACGCGGAGCACCTCGCGCTGGACCAGAGGGAGCGCATCACGGAGGCCAGGGGCGGGCGGGGTCGCCGCCCTCGACGCGACCTGAGGGCCCCGCCGCCCCCGACCACGCGGACGAGCTCAGCTAGGTCCCACCGAGGTGGGTGGGCCCTCGCCGAGCCAAAGGCCAGGGCCCCGCGGGCCCTCGCCCCCTCGGGCCCTTCGCCGACCGGTGTTGGGCCCAACGGGCCCGTCTTTTTCCCTTCCCCTTTCCTCCAGGCCTTCGCTGTCCAGGATTGAAACGGGCCTCCCTCTCCCCCCCTCTGTCGGCGGCCGACGGCCGCCGCGCTGCGCTTCAGGGCTGTGACCCTTACGGCGCGTCAAATAGCGGAAATAGCGGAGAAGGAGAAGGAACGAGGACCGCGAAGCGCGAAGCGCGAATAACTTCGCGCCCTCGTGGGAGCCCTTGTGCCAGGGACCGCAGATGTGCGCAGATCTCGCCGCCCCCTTTGGAGGACCCAAATCGCTCACTCGCGCGCCCCGGGTGCTGCCGAGGGCCCTCCCTGAGATCCGACGCCGCGAACAACAGACACACAGCATCGCAAGAAACGGCTGCGCCCCATCTTCCTGCGGTATGGGGACAACGCCATGAGCATAATCTTTTGGCGCTTCGCGCAGGGGGCCCCAGCGCAGATCCAAGAAATCCGCGTGGAGCGCCAACAATTTATGTTAATGGCGTTTTGTTCTTTCGAGCGAAGGCAGAAACCGCCAGGCGTGGAAAAATTGGCCTCTCTGGTCGATCTGTGCTGGCCGCGGTCCTCGAGTGCCTCCTCCAGGGTGGCCCGGGCTGGCGGGGAGCCCTCCTGCCCGAGGGCGCGTCGGGGAGGTACTCGGGAGGGGAGAGGGGGGGAGGGGAGATGAGGAAGAGCAGAGGGGGATGGAGAAAGAGAAAAGGAAAGAGGAGGAGGAGGAAGAGGAGGAGGAGAAGGAGGAGGAGGGGGAGGAGGAGGAGGAGGAGGAGGAGGAGGAGGAGAAGGAGGAGGAGGAGGAGGAGGAGGAAGGAAAGGAGGAGGGAAGAGGAGGGAGGATGAGGAGGATGAGGAGGAGGAGGAGGAGGAGGAGAAGGAGGAGGAGGAGGAGGAGGAGAACGACCGGGGATGGGCAGAGAGAGGCCACCTCCTCCTCCTCCTCCTCCTGCTGAGGACGAGGGGGGAGCCCCTCTTCATCATTCCTCCTTCCCGGGCCAAGGCCCAAACCTCCGACGACCTGATTTGCTCGAGTCGCCCGCCCACGAAGTTCTCGGCCCCTTCACCAGGGCCGATGTCTCATCCCGAATCGCTGTTATGTGTACTGGTGTGTTTCTGACAAAAATAAATGTACCTGCATCTGGGGGGGGATCTAGGCTTTACCCGCGTCGAGTCGAATCTCGTTTGCACACCTTCGGGGCTCCACATTTTTGTCAGGGTGGTTCGGCGAAGAATGCCATGCACTCAAATCTGCCAGAATTGAATCTGGAGCCAACTCTTGCCAGCGGTCCTGGGGCCATGAACGGCTCCTGGAACCCGAACGTGACAGAAATGCCGTGGTGCGTTTCCAGAAGGAGCCCCAAGAAGGACCAGAGAGGTTCCAAACTCCTTCTCCTTCTGCTCCTCGTCCTTGCCAACATCCCTTCTGAGGAGGACGAGGAGGAAGGAGGAGGGGGAGGAAGAGGAGGAAGAGGAGGAAGAGGAGGAGGAGAAGGAGGAGGAGCAGGAGGAGGAGGAGAGGGAGGAGGAGGATGAGTAGGAGGAGGAGAGGAGGAGGAGGAGGAGGAGAAGGAAGAAAAGGTCGGAGCCAAACGTGCCGGACATGCCGTGGAGGGTCTCCAGAAGGAGGCTCAAGAAGGGCCAAAGAGGTCCCAAACTCCTTCTGCTCCTGCTCCATCTCCTAGCCCGCTAGACTCCCCGGGGATGGGGAGCACGGAGGTCGGACCCCACCCTGCTGGAAATGCCGTCGTGGGACTTCGGAAGCAGGCCCAAGAAGGGCCAGAGAGGTACCGAGCTCCTTCTCCTGCTGCCCCTCCTCCTTGCCAACCTCCCTCCTCTGGAGGACGAGGAGGAGGAGGAGGACGAAAACGGAGGAAGAAGCGGAGGAGGAGGAGGAGGAGGAGGAGGAGGAGGAGGAGGAGGAGGAGGAGGAGGAGGAGGAGGAGGAGAAGGTCGGACACGAACGTGTCGGAAACGCCGTGGTGGGCCTCCAGACGGAAGCCCAAGAAGGGCCAGAGGGGTTCCAAGTTCCAAGCTCCTTCTCCTGCTGCCCCTCCTCCTTGCCAACCTCCCTCCTCTGGAGGACGAGGAGGAGGAGGAGGAGGAGGAGGAGGAGGAGGAGAAAGAGGAATAGAAAACGGGACCCGAATGTGCCGGGAATGCCGTGGTAGGGCCTCCGGAAGGAGGCCCAAGAAGGACCAGAGAGGTTCCAAACTCCTTCTCCTTCTGCTCCTCGTCCTTGCCAACCTCCCCTCTGAGGAGGAGGAGTGGGAGGAAGAGAAGGAGGAGAGGAGGAGGAGGAGGAGAAGGAGAGGGATGACGAGAAGGAGGAGGAGGAGGAAAAGGAAGAGGAGGAAGAGGAGAAAGAGGAGGCTGAGGGACGTCGGACCCAACCGTGCTGGAAATGCCCCCCTGGGGAGAGGGAGGCGATGTCGGAGGACTCCTGCCTCCGAGCTCTGCGCAGGCCCCCGAGAGCGCTCTGAGAGGCCCAGCGCGATCGGACAGGTCCAGTCTCGGGCCCTGGCGCCCTCGAGCGACAGAGGGGAGGAGTGGAATAAGCCCATGGGCGAGGACTTCGCGGCTCGCTGCGCGCGAGCCCAGGCTGCAGGCGGGGGAAACGAGGGGGCCACACCATTGTCTGGGAGACACTGGTAGGAGGTTGAGGATGAGGATGAGGACGAGGACGAGGACGGGGACGAGGACGAGGATGATGCTGATGCTGATGCTGATGCTGCAGCTGCTGCCGATGCTGCTGCTGCTGCTGCTGCTGCTGCTGATGCTGATGATGATGTTGATGATGAGGATGATGAGGATGATGATGGCGATGATACTGCTGCTGGTGATTATGCTGTTGATGCTGATGCTGATGCTGATGCTGATGATGATGATGATGATGATGATGATGATGATGATGAGCCCAGAGGGAGGATCCCAGAGAGGAAGAAGAGGTGGAGGAGGAGGATGAGCCCAGAAGCAGGAGGACGAGGATAATGAGGAGTCCTTGAGCGAGGGGGAGCTTGGCGGGAGCAAACATGCGATGTCTTGACTTTCTCAATGCATGGTCCCCCAAATCTGGATTCTTTCCTCAGGGCCAGGTTTTCATCTCTGGTCGTCTTTGAAGGACCATAGGGCCCAACACGGTCAAACAACGCCCGTCGTTTTTTTTGCCACGACGCGAACACGTCTGGATTTCGGGCCAGAATTCCCGCGGCCGTTCGGGACGATCCTGACCCCGGAAAGCCCTCGGCGAGGTGCTGGGATGCACCGAAGAACGACGAAAACGCCACCCCCCCCCCCGGATCCCTTAGGGGGAAACAAACCTATCTCGCTTTTGACCACCCTCGCTTCCAAGAGATACCAAACGATGCCAAACTACGGCCTGTACTGGTCAGGCCGCTTGACGAGGAGGCGCGTGGTATGACTAGGTTTTGCCTGGAAGCGAAAGCGGGGTAAGTAGCTCGCGCTCTGAATCCCGACTGACCCACCTCACGACGCACCGTGAACGGGGCCTCCGGCGCCACGATGCTTCGGTGACGGGCGGCCGGCCCGCCCGACGCTCTCGACCTCTTCCCCCGGGGGGGGCGGCACCTCGTCCCGCGGGCCGTTCCCTGACGGGCAAGAGGCCCGACGCGGGACGGGGACCGCAAGAGGCCCAGACTTGGGGCGGAGGCCACGGCCAGGAGGCGGCTGGAGGAGAAGACGTTCGAATACGAAACGCCCGCACGCTCGAGGAGGGCGCCCGAGGAGGGGGGCGCCCGCCGACGTAGCCGGATGGAGGGCGCCCGAGGGGGGCACCGTCCTCCGAGCCCTGGCGCGGCAAGGGGCGCGCGGGCTGGAACCCGGCGGCGGCTGCTGCTGTGAGCCCGCGGGCTCCGGGTTCCGCGCGCGGCGGCTTCTTCGGCCCTGGGCGGCGGAGGGGGGACGAGGAGGGAGGAGGGAGGAGGAGGCAAAGGGGGGGAAGGAGGAAGAGGAGGAGGAGGTGGAGGAAGGGGAGGAGGGAGAGGGGGAGGGGGAGAGGAGGAGGAGGAGGAGGAGGAGGAGGAGGAGGAGGAGGAGGAGGAGGAGGAGGAGGAGGAGGAGGAGGAGGAGGAGGAGGAGGAGGAGGAGGAGGAGGAGGAGGAGGAATAGGAGGAGGAGGAGGAGGAGGAGGAGGAGGAGGATGAGGAAGAGGGGGAGGAGGAGGAGGGGGAGGAGGAAAAGGAGGAGGAGGAGGAGGAGGACCAGTACAAACCCAAAATGCATCAACGATCCTGCATGAAACCCTCCTTCCAAGCTCCCTCTTCATAGGTCCCTGCCAGAGTTTACTCTCATTGCGGGGAGCGCACCACTTGATGGCAAACGCTTGAGAATCCCCAATCGCGTCAAAACGCGACTCGTGGGATGTCAGCGCGGCGAACCAAATGACCGTTGCGACCTGACAGCTTTCAACCGTGCCAGGACACCATTCCTGGTTCTTCAACACCGCCGAACAACAACACTGCTGCGTCTTGACAGTCCCAAATCGTGTCAGAACATTATTCTGGAAACTTCCACCACACGCATCCGTCAAACAATTGCACGATTGTGAAACATGCGCTAAGGCGAGCGCCGCATTTTGAAAAATGAATCGTGCTGCAGCCTTGCATATGTTTGCACACTTCTAAACGAGGGCACGCGGCGCAAAAGCGAAAACCACATTTTGAAAACGAAGAATACCCCCTCCTGGAAACCGCTGCGGGCTGATCGGCATAATGCGAGCGGCGTTGCGTCGAGAACCACATTTCGAACACAATCCGCTTTCCATTCTTGAATACGCTGCCAAGTGCGAGCCTCACGATCATGACTGGTGTGGGGATATCTGGCGGAACGCCCGGCCGATGATGATGCGGCTACTCAAAAAATATAGCAAGTTCGATTTGCAAATTTCCCCCCAGTAATAAAGTTCGGCCTTGCCGCCCCTCTCTTCCGACCAAATCTGTAGTGGTGGCTAAGGATAGTAAGCTCTCAAGGGTTACGGGGGGGGATGATTTATTATCCAGGGCACTCGGTTAGGAACAAAGGTGGAGGAAGAATGGGATGAGACGCAAGAGGCTCGCCTCCTTTTGGCGCGCCGGGTCCACGTCTGTGCGCCTCCCCCCGAAAGCACCCCCACAGCGCCAGAACATGCACTCCAGCGCACCGTTCGCGGTGCCGAGAAGAAGGAACGCACTTTCACAAGAGAGGCCCGAGATGGTCAGCAAGAGAAAACATCGGACCAGGCGAAGGGGGGGAATAGGAAAGGGGGGATTTGAGAATCAGCTCGCGTAGCTGATTTTCCCGGCGGTTCCTGGCGTCGAGAGGCGCCCATGTATCGAGGAATGGGCCCGGCGGCGGGGCCGAAACCAGCTGCATGCAGCAGATTTCGTAATCCTCTCAAATTCCCAATCCCCCCCTTCCGTCCGGCCCGAGAAACTGCGTATGGGGTTAGAGCACCAAGGTACAGGAACCCCTGATCCGTAGGTAGAGGAAGGAGGGAAGATAGGGATCTTTTCCTCCTGTGCGACCAGCGTCCTGGTCTTTTCCAGTACCTGAGCCGATAAGGCAAGCAAAAGGGCGAGTGAGTAGAGATGAGGGTATGAGACCGGTTCCTTTCACAGAAACCAGCGTGTGGCAATCGAGAAGGCCTTTGTGCACCACTGTGGTGGGCGCGGTCTCCCAGCGGGCCAGCAACAGGCCGCACCCTGAAGAGGGTAGAGACGCGGCGGTTTGCGGCAGGATGCGCCGGTGCACCGCCCGAAGGGGGAAGGAGGAGGAGGAGGAGGAGGAGGAGGAGGAGGAGGAGGAGCAGGAGCAGGAGCAGGAGGAGGACCATCACATGCTAATGATGGAGGCTAGGGTTAGGCCGACCCGACCCTAACCGAAACCTGGGGGTTACATCCGCTCTCCTCTTACGCTGGCTTTCTTCCCTACGTCGCCCCTCCTTCCTTGAGGAGCTGGGCCGCAGGGATGGGCAGGGAAAGTCGGGGACGGGCCTTCATGCTGCTCTTGGGATGACGGCCGCTTGCCAGGAGGGACCACGCACCTTGGGAGAACTTGCTTTGGAAGCGTTCCTTACATTCACCTTTGAGTCCTTTGAGGTTGCTTTCGCTGTAGCGGCCGCACCTATTACAAACGACTAGGAAGGACTCGACATCAAGGTAATCACAAATCATTAATTGGTGCTACTGGGGGTCCCTAGTTCACATTGACAACATGGCTGAATTACCTGGGCATGCTTCTCGCATGCGGGTCTTGCGAGTGCTGTCCGTGCGGGCGCGGGTGTGACACGCGAGGCGCAGCCAATGACTATTGAGCCATGCCCACTGATGTCTCGCCACGCCCTGGGGGTTACGGCACGCTCGAGCACGCCGAGGACGACCCCCAGGGGGCGGGGGTGGTGCAGTCCATTGGTTGACTGCTCCCGCTGCCCCAACTGGGGGATTGAAATTCTGGGCGGGCTTCTCATAGGCCTTCCTGCCCGACTTCGGAGCGAGTGGGGCCCACAAGGAAAGAGCCTCTGCAGCATGCTTCACCATCCTCTGAACTCGGCTGCGACATTCTTTATAATGCTCGATTTCACTCTGGGACGGGGCGGGGATTCTGGCGGCCGCTTGTTTGGCCACCTTGTCCGCCCAGTCATTTCCTTTTGCAGCAAACCAGTCCCTCGAGCCGACCACCAGGGAAGACAGATCCTGGTGGGCCTTGACTTTCCCGATCTCGAGGGACGCAAAGCAGCTCTGGGTCCTGGCCAGAACTGAAACTCCTGAGTACATTTCCTTACGTGAGACTTCGGCGTTCTGGTGCACCGAGAGGATGCCCTTGAAATCCGTCCACGCTTTGGTGACTCTGGGGCATGACGTAGCAACTAGAAACCCCAGGTGTTCGGCAGCGGGCGACGTGGGGGGAAGGCTGGCGCCCACAGGGCCAGAGAGACTGGCAACCAGGTCGCCGTCCTCGTCGATTTTCACCACGGACCAGGCGGGGGCATCATGCACCGCGGGTCCAGGTTTCAAAACACTGCCATCATGGAAAACGTCACCTTGCATGGCCACCTCCTTGGGCAGCCCATCTCTAGACCAATATACAGCCTGCTCTAGTCCTAAACCAGGGGGCCTCAGAGCAATGGGTTCAGGTCGAAGTTGAAATCCTAACACATATGGAAATCCTCTCCTCGGGTCCCTGAACTCCTCGATATCTGCTCCACTTAACATTTCCTCTCTCAGGTTGCGGGTCTGCGGGCGCTCGAGGAGCCTGTGGGGAATGGAGTCCACGGGGCCCTTACACAGCTCGCATTCGACTTCATTATGATAGCCTGCCTCGGCCATCTTTTTTGGTCCAAATGCACTGGCAGCCATGTGAAAGCAGCGTCTTCCTTTTGTAGGCCTGCACTGTACTGTCCTGCAGCGCGCGCTGCATGACCGACGGGTCGAGGGGCTCGTCGAAACCGAGCTTCTGCCCCGCCTTCGCGTCTAACTGCAACTGCCACTGGGATTGAAACAGCTTCTCGATGAGGGCAGGGGAGGTAGTAATGAGTGGGTAGTCCAGGCCTTGCGAGTCTCTAAAGACGAGCGGGTCGGGCATGGACCACCCCAGACGGCTCAGGCTGAGCATCGTGGCCCCTAAGGGCCCTCGGATTTGGTACCAATTCGCAGGGGGCTCGTGGAGGACCTGGAGGGCTTGTTCGCGGAGTCCCACCAGAGAAAAGCCAATCGTGCCAGGATGATGAGCAACTCTCCAGATCAGGTTGGCCCAATAACAGGCCGGCCCCAAGGCAGCACTCCAAGTCGGGCCCCCCAATATCGATAAAGCCAGGGACCTGGATCTTGTAGCACAGCGGGGCCCTACAATCTTGAGGTAGAGGGACTGGGCTTCATGCAACTCAGGGCTGGTGAGGCCGACGACCTCCGCGCCATAGTAGGCGGCCGCCTTCAACCCTGTCTGATAAATCTTCCGCATATTCGCACCTGCTCGCCTAATCTGGGCCAGACGGTGGAGTCGACGTTTCATCTTGGAGGTTCGCTTCGCCAGAGTATTTCGGGCCTTCTTCGAGACCCTGTTCCCCGTGGTAAAATCGACTCCGAGGTTTGGCGCAGACTGTGCTTGGTTGACTCCTTCTGGTCCACTGTACTTACCTAGAGCTTTGGCCAGGCGATGCTGTGCTGCAGCGGACGATCCCAGCACTGCAGCCTTGTGCAAGGCGACCGAGCAATCGAGGTCCTCCTCGATTAAATCTAGCATGCTGTCGGAGGCCTGCGCCAGGTCCGACACCAACAGGCGAACACTTATGTTGTTGCTAGTCAGCATGAAATCATCTATGAAGATTGAGGGGTCCACGGTGGGGAACTTCGGATACCGGGAGTCCATGGGGGGAACCGTATACGTTTGGACGTTGTAGGTCGCAAGCGAGCACCCAGCAGGGAAGCCTATGGTAGCACACCCCGCGTAGGTAGCCAATGTTCTGGTTGCAACAGCCCTGGGACCCCCATACTGGTTCATCATAATACACGTTAGCGTCTCCGAACATCCAGAAAGGATCGCCTGAGATTTCCATTTCTTCCGATTGACATTTTCATAATAGTTAGATAAATCCCATAAATCCCCACCAGTGTGGACAGCTTGGTAACCAGCAGCAAGTTCAGCCTCCAAGGCCTGAGCATAAACAGTTTCAAGCACACCTCGACCAGACTGATGAGCAAGATAAGGCCTTTTGTTGGCCCTTTCCCACCGACGAGGTTCCCCCTGGCGAATTTTGGACCACGCCCTCCAGAGGGCAGGGAGCAAACCGATTCCACGGTACGAGGGGCCCTCAGACTGGTCAGGCGCGTGCTTCTCAATCAGCGCGATAATGACGCCGCGAATGGCTGTCGGAAATACTCCAATCTCCTCGATCGCTGCCAAAAGCTTACACACATGCTCCAGCTCCACATTGCTGAGATAAGCAAAGTGACGAGGGTGAAACCCATCCCAAGTCTGGCTGGTAGATTTTGGAAATCTTGTGGCAGCTGATCTGATCTGGCCAGGCGCGATGGGCTCCAAGCGGTCACGCTCGGCCGACGGCAAGTTAAAGTCCTGCTCCTGCGGCGTGGCCTGCCGCAATCCTGCGAGGCGGGTTGCCTCGGACTGGAGCAACTCAGATGGCCGACCTGAAAATGTCTGCAGCTCGGGGCGCCAAACTTTCTGAGGTTGCCAGGAGGTGAGCTTTGAGGTCCAGCGGTGGGCCCAACCAACACCCCGAGACATGGCCTCCTGGGCCCACTTGTTCCAAGACGTTGTTTCACTTTGTCGGTCCTTGGCCTCCTCAGCTTTGAGCGCGTGATCAACTGCATCATCGAGCTCTTCAAATACCTTCAACACGAGCTTGGGGCCCATCTGGCCATTGTCCTGGTCTTGGGCAGCAGCGCCTAGAGCAGTCCTAACACTGGCGAGCAAACGGGCAAACTCCCCGGTACCTTCGAGCTCTGGGGGTGGCGACTGGATGCTGGTCAAAATCTCCGAAAGGTAAAACTCCTCCTTGGAATGAACCCGTCGGATGACATCCATAACTTTGTTTTTCAACCGCCGAATCGGAATTGATAGACTCCTCCAACTGGCCCTGGGTTCCACCTCTCGCGCGGCTCCGGGTGCCCAGCGGATCTTAGGGAGGCCCGCCCGCGGGGCCGTGGGCGAATTGATCGGAGCGTCTGTGCGAATACTGATCGTTTTCGCCATGTCCGAGGCGAAGTACTGGCATGCCGAATCTAGGGCCAGCAAGCGGGCCTCAATCCCAGGCCCTCGATCGATAACCTGGTCCAAGAAAAACAAGGCAGCCTCCGCGCGGCCCCAGGACGGCACGTGGTTGGTAGGCCCATAGGGCCTGGAGGCAGCAAATGGTCGGGGCTTCTCCAAGACTGGCACCATATAGGGCTTCCCGCAGCGCAGCTGGAACAGCGCGGGCCTATGCGGGCTCGCGGGGTACTCGTCGAGAACCGTGGCCCTCGAGAGGTCCTGGTCGAAACACGACGAGGCGAGAACGAAGTGGACGATGGACTCGGACTTCTTCACCTTACATGTTGGTTTTGTCGGGGCCAAAATCTTAAGGCCTGCTCTCAGCGGGTAGTTCGACTCGATTAGCTTACTCGTCGACGCATTGAAACCCCCAGCAATGATGAGTGGCTGTCGCACAGCGTCCTGGATCATTGCAACCCCTGCTAAGAGCTCTGAATTATACTGGTTGAGGCCCACCCCGTCGGCCAAGTAAAGTGAAACTAGTACGAATGGACGATGCCCAGGAAGTTCAAGCGAAACTACTGTGCGCCGTGACTCTACCACCCCTGCAGGCAACGGCGCACGTGATATTCCATAGTCATGCCCATCACGAATCAAAACCCCTGTTCCTTGGACAGGGCACCCTTTCTCACTGAGCACGGCTGGAGAGAGCATCGCGTTCCACCCCTCTCTCTCACACCATTGCACGATGAACGGGAGCGCATCCTTCAATGCCCGAAGTTCTTGACAGCAGATGATGTCCACCGCCTCGGCTGCTTGAGACTTCAGAAACATCCGAATAGATCTCCTGCAGCTTCCATTGATAAAGGCGAACCTGACCGCGTTACCCACGCGGCGCCCCGTCCGCCCCCTTGCCGCCCTTGCCCTTGCTGGCCAGGCAGAGCGCCTTCGCGCTGGACTGGAGCGCCGCGTTGGCCATCTGCTGCTGGGGCGTGAGCGCCGAGTTCTGGCCGTTGATGTTCAGAACCTGGTCGATCGCCTCGCCTACGCGCTTCATGCCCTGGCTCCTCTTGTCAGCCTCGTCGTGGTCCAGCTGCATGGCCTCGGCCTCGACGTCCAGGCTGGCTGCCAGCTCAGGGCTGACATCTCCTGATGGGGTGGCGGTGGCCTGCGACGGCGCCCTCGGGTCGGCATCGGCTGCGATTGGGACTGCGGCCCCCGCCTCGGTACCCGTCTGGGAGTCCGCCGCCCCCTGGGTCGCCGTCTGGGCCTGCTGGGAGCTGGCCTGGGTTGCCTGGGCTGCCTGCCACTCGTCATGTAGCTTTGCCGACAGCTGAACGACGGCCTGCTTCACCTCCGCGGACGGCGCGAGCCCAGGTGGGAACTGGCTGATGATGTACGTCTCCAGCGAGGGGGCCGAGGTGCTGACGTGCTCCTTCAACGCCTGCTCCACTGCCATCTTGTGCTGGGTCTCTAACTGCTGCGTCTCCGCTGACAGGTCGGCGACGAACTTGCACTGGTTGGTCTAGTCATTGGCCAAGGTGACCATGGCCTCACACGTTTTGTCACAAGTCTGTCGGGCACTGAGCAGCTTCTTCTTTGCGACTTCGAGCTGGTCGTGCAGCGATTTTCGCTGTTGGTCCCATGGTTTTGCTGCTAGTGTCGATGCTTTCGCTGCTTTCAACTCCTCCACGGCCGGCAGGTAGTGACTCCCTTTGATGCCTGCCATTTTCTTCCAGAACTGAGCAGTTGCCGCACACACAACAACTGGATCACGATCTGGCTCATCGGGTTCACGTACTGCTGCAGCTCCTTTTTGGTGACACTTCGGCGCTGGGCTGGACGAGCGCCTGCGCCACCTGTTGGGAGTGCCGCCTGATGTAGTCTGTGACTGACGGGACGGGGCAGGTTGTCCTGTTTTCCGTCCTATGAAGGCTAATCCACACTGACCACAATACTTGAACGGCTTGTCCGCCCATGTCCATACTTTGCATCCACCAGATTGGCAGCAGAGGTACTTGCGTCCGTCTCCCCTGCCTCGGCTTTGCTGTCGCTGGCCGCCCATGTCTGATGGAACGAGGGACGCCCCAGGTTTGGCTGCTGACCTGGGGTGAGAAACTGGTTGGCGAGAAAGCAGGCGCCACCTGCCTACGGTAGGCTGAAAAGATGGAAGCAGGCGCCACCTGCCCACGGTAGGCTGGTGCCAGAACGGCTTGAGCCAGGAGCAGGAGGAGGAGGAGCAGGAGCAGGAGGAGGAGGAGCAGGAGGAGGAGGAGCAGGAGGAGGAGGAAGAGAGGAGCAGAAGCAGAGTAAATCCAATACGCGTCAACGATGTTGCAACAAATCGTCCCTCCGAACTCCTTTTTTCATGGGTCCCTGTAAGAATGTGCCACCATTCGTGGGCGTGACAATTTGAGAGCAATGCCCCGTTGACAAAACAAGCGTCTGATGATCATCGACCGTGTCAACACACCATTCCTGGGACGTCAACGCCGCGAATCAACTGATTGCTGCGTCCTGACCATCTCCAGGACACCATTTCCAGGACTTCAACAATGCCAATCAATAGCCGGTTGCGTCCTGACAAACCTACGTAAATCATGTCAGACCACCCAAGGACTTCAACCCTACACATCCCTGAAACTACGATGAATTTCTAAAACGAATGCGCGCGGCGCCAAGGCGAGAGCGACATTTTGAAAAGGAGTTACTCTCTATCCTTGAAGCTGTTGCACACTTTTGAGACGAATGCTCGCGGCACTAAGGGGAAACCAAACGTCCGCAACCTGTGCAATTACTCAGTGGGGCGACGATGACGACGACGACAACGACGACGACCTTGCTGCTTGACGACGGCGACGTCCCAGAGAGGTCTCTGGCCGCCCCTGGAGGTTCCCAGGAGGAGCCTCCTGTGGTCTCCGCAGGTGCACGGAGGCCCCCTGGCCGAACACGTCCTCGAACCTTGATCCTCGAGCCTCGATCGGACGACGAAGACGACGACGGACGTCGACGACGAGGACGAGGACGACGGACGACAGTGACCCTCGACGGAAAACAACTACGACGACCCCTCTGGAAGCATCCAAGGGCCTGTGTAAGCGTTCGAGAATCTCCGCGCCCCTCCAGAAGCCTCCGAACACCTTTGAGAACTGTCCGAGCACCTTCGACGAACACCGCCTTGAAAATAGTCGACAGACGACCGCGCGACGACAACGACGACGACGACAACGGCGACGGCGACGACGACGGTGGCCACGACCGCGGCGGCAGCGACAACGACGACGGCGCGGCGGCGACGACGACGGCGGCGGCGGCGGCCGCGACCGCGGCGGCGGCAGCGAAGACTACGGCGGCGCGATGGCGAAGACGACAGCGGCGACGAACGACCACGCCTTGGTTTTTCAATGAGGGGCCCCCGAAAATCCCGACCCTTTCCCCCAGGCCCTTTTTTTGTCCCGGATAGCTAATGACGGGTCCGGCGCTGGGCGAGGGCCCCGAGGAGGCAGCCGACATCCCAAAACCTCCCGTCGCTTCTTGTTTGTTGTTGTTTTTTTCTGGCGACGACGAATGACGGCGGCAAGAGCAGGCGACAACGACGACGACGGCGGCCGCGGCGGCGGCGACGGACGTCGGCCTGGCTGCTCGCACGGCGGCTCGGCCAGCGGGCAGAGCGCGGGGGTCGACGGCGCGGTGCTCGCTTGGGACAGCGGCGTGCACTGGCCGAGGGGCAGCTTCGCGTCCGACCCTCCCGCGCCCCGCGGCCGCCGTCGCCGCCGCCGCCGCCGCCGTCGCCGCCGCCGCCGCCGTCGAGGCCGTCGTCGACGTCGTCGTCGTCGTCGTCACCGTCGTCGTGGTCGTCATCGACTCCGTCGTCGCAACGGCCGCCGCCGCCGCTGCCGCCGTCGTCGCGTCGCCGCGGCCGTCGTGGTCGCCGTCGCCATACGTCGTGGTCATCGTCGTCGTCGTCGTGTTCCTTCTCGTTCAACTCCTCCCTGCGCGCGGGCACCTGCGCGCGACTGGGGTGGAACGAGGAGGGCGGAGACGAGGAGTGAAGGGGGAGGGGAAAGGGGAAAAATGGAGGGAAAGGATGGAAGGAGGTTGTACTCCTCCCGTTTCTCCTCCACACCCTCATCCTCCCTTCATTCATGATTTCCCTTGTCTGCTCACTCATCCCAACCCTTCTCGCCTCGTCGTCGTCGTCGTCGTCCTCCTCCTCCTCCTCCTCCTCCTCCTCCTCCTCCTCCTCCTCCTCCTCCTCCTCCCCTCCCCCTCCCTCGCAGGCGCGCTGGAGGCGGTGGATGGATGAGCGGGGAGGGGGGATAAGGAGGGAGGAGGGGCAGGATGCGCCGTCGCCTTCCTCCTCCTCCTCCTCCTCCTCTTCCTCCTTCTCCTTTTCCTCCCCGTCCCTCTCTACTTCCTCCCCACCTCGTGTTCCCACTGCTGCACTCCTGCTCCTTGTGAACAACTTCTCCCCGTCACACCCTGAGGTGTGTCGGTAAGGCGGGCCGGGCTTGTCGCCTGACACTTCCTCACCATGTATGATCCGTCAGCTGAGAACGTGCACGGGCTTACGGATGGAGGGACGGCCGTTTTCAAACTGTGATTATCGCCTGAGCGCCGCGCATACTCGTCAATAAACATTTGCGCAAGCGCTTCACGAGTGGAGGGCGGGTGGCTTTTTAAAATGTACTTCTCCCAGAAGCGCCGCGCATATTCGTATTTTCAAGGTTGCAAGAGCTTCCAAGATGGAGGGGAGGCGTTTTCAAACTGTGGCTCTGGCTTAAGCGCCAAGTTTTTGCCGGACAGAGGGCAGGTGGTGTTCAACATGTGCCTCTCGCTATAGCGCCGCGCACATTCGGTTGAAGAGCCTGCAAGAGAGTCACAGATGGAGGGCGGTTCGCTTTCAAAATATGTTGCTTGCCATAGCGCCACGCACATTCGCCTTACACCTCTGCAAGAGCTTCACGGATGGACTGCGGTTCCTTTTCAACATATGTGGGCCTCGCCTGCAAGGATTCTCAGGGATTCCAGCAATGAGTTTACAACAGTGTCAAGGAGTATCATGGTGAAACGTCGCAGACATGGTGGTGTCGCACGATGTCGGACTGTCAGGGCGCGACAAGCACGTTGATTCGCGGTGTTGAAGTCCCAGAAATGATATTTCGCCACGATTGAGGACCGTCAAGACGCAACAGTAACGGTGATTCGCGGCGCTGAAGTCCCAGGGGCGTTTTGGCACAATTCAGGGTGTTCAAACGGTTTTCTTCCAACGGGGCACTTCTCGCAGTGAAGATGAATTCTTGTAGGGCCCTATGAAGAGGGAACTTGGAGGGATGGTTTGTTGCAATATTGTTGGGGAGTTTTGGGTTTACACTGGTCCTCTTCCTCCTCCTCGTTCTTCTCCTCCTCGTCCTCCTCGTTCTCCTCCTCCTCCTCCTCCTCTTTCTTCCAGGCGTCGCGCAAACTTCAGGCGGAAGCCTGGAGCTCCTCCTCCTCCTCCTCCTCCTCCTCCTCCTCCTCCCCTCCCTTGAGCTCCCTGGAGCAGCCTTGCCCTCCTCCTCTGCCTCCTCCCTCCTCCTCGCCCTCTCCCTCGAAAGCTTCTCGCCTCGAGCCCCCCCGCTGGCGGCCACGGGCCCTGGCCCTCGCCCCCAGAGCTGACCGCGGCGAACGGCCCCCGGCGCGACCCTCTTCTCTGGCCGCCAGGGGACTGGGCCCCCAGAGGTGGGCTGCGAGGAGGAGGAGGAGGAGGAGGAGGAGAAGGAGGAGGATGGAGGAGGAGATGGGGGCTGGGTAGCCCCTTGATTAACAACAAAAAAATCTGCTGCAGTCGACCCGTATCGTAAGGACGCGCGACAAGGATGCAAGGGTCTTGGACGCCCATTTCCAAGCTTTTCGAGCGGGGCGCGGCCAACGAGTGGCAAGGATGGACCGAGGAGGCAAGGATGCAAGGGTATCCTTGGGAAGGTTGCCCATCCTTACCATGCGGGTTGACTCTACCATGAGGAAGGCCGAGTAATCGAGGAAGAAACAAAACTACATGAGCACACCCGTTCGGGGGTCTGCGCAGACTTCTTGGATCGTCGATGGGCCCCGTGGCAGCGTCTCCGGCGTCGCCTCTGGCAAGTTCCGCGCGCCAGGGAGGGGGGTCCAACGCCGATCCAAGAACTCCGCGCGGACCTCCGGGAAATTATGTTACCCACCGGTCGGAAGAAGCAGGTCGAAACATGAAGTAGGAAGGCGTTGAGAGTAGATTGGGCTTCCGCCCGCCCCGAAGAGGGAAGAGGGAAGAGGGAAGAGCGCCTAGATTAGATTGGACTCTGGGACTCAACAAAATATCTACTTTCGACGACCGTTGGGTATGTTTTTTTTCCTCTTCGAAGGAGCGCCGACAAGAAACGAAGGAGAGCACCTGTGTCCGCGACGAGCCTCGGCCACGAATCGACCTCCCGGCGAATATCTAAGGAGCGGCCCCCCAAACCCACAGTGAGGACAAAGTGTTTCTCGCTTCGGCGCCCTGCCTGGAAAGAAAGAAGACAGCACGCAGACGCCGAGATCATACAGGGCAGTTTTTAATACATAGGATTTTCAAACATATGGGATTTTTAATACATGACTAATTTAGGAAAACAAATATGCATGAACTCATCGTTGTTCCCTACCTAGGCTCTGCCTAGAAGGGTTCTTACTCTCTTAGCTTAAAGGGCCGGGCAATGGAAATCGCCCCGGGCGGTTCCCCCAGTCCCTTCCCCCAGTCCCCTGGGAGCTGTAGCTTTAGCTTTAGCTTTAGCTTAGCTTTAGCTTAGCTTTAGCTTAGCTTTAGCTTTAACGTTAGCTTAGCGTTAGCTTAGCCTTAGCTTAGCTTTAACTTAGCTTTAGCTTAGCTTCAGCTCAGCTTCAGCTTAGCTTTAGCTCAACTTTAGCTTAGCTTTAGCTTAGCTTTAGCTTAGCTTTAGCTTTAGCTTTAGAGCTCAGCTTTAGCTTAGCTTTAGCTTTTTTCTGTTACCTCATATTTAGCTTAGCTTTAGCTTAGCTTAGCTTTAGCTTAGCTTCAGCTTAGCTTCAGCTTATATTTAGCTTAGCTTTAGCTTAGCGCTAGCTTAGCGTTAGCTTTAGCTTTAGCTTAGCTTCAGCTTAGCTTTAGCTTAGCTTTAGCTTTAGCTCAGCTTTACTGTTGCTACTAATGCTGCTTTCCTAGGGGCTCCAACTTCTAGGTAGGGTCGCACTGGGATAATTTTTAAACTAAATCCCTGCATTGTTATACATGATCCGAGCGCGGAGCATGTATAAAAAACGGCAATGTACGAGGACGTCTCGCGCGAATGCCATCCAGCCGCGAGAGCCCCGGCGGACCGGATGCCCGGGGAATGTCTGGCAGGGCTCGCCGGGGGCAGCTCTGGGGGCGCAGCTCTGGGGCCGGAGATGGCAGCGGCGGGCGACGGCGCAGCAGCAGTGCAGAGCGGGGAAGCTGCGCATTACCCTCCCCGTCCTTGGCCCGCTCCTCGTCGAGGTATGGCAAGCACGCGCTGGCATGGATTACGGATCCGTGGATCTGGCGCGTGGGCGCCAGATCCACGAGCCAGGAAAGTGCCCCCCGCCAAGATGAAGCCGGCGCCGCCTCCTCTGGCGACGGAGACGTCGATCATGCATGGAAGCGGGGCCCGTCGCTATTGTCAGCCCCGCGTCCTAATCCATGTTCGCGTTGGGTCGATCCTCGTCGGGGTCCCCTCTTTCTGCGGGGCAGCGATCGGGGAGGGGCTGGCTCAGGAGGGAGGATCTGCGACACCTCGCCAGCAGCTTGTCGATGGGCCCCAGGTAGCGAAACCGCGCACTCCTTGGCGAGGCGGGCAGCCAGCCCCTGGGGCGGGGGCTGGCGGGGGTCCCACCCGCGAGCAGGCAGGCCGTGAATCAGGCCGAGCCGCGGGCCGGAGGTGGCGAGGAGACAGAGCAGGTGGCTCTGCTTGCGTAGCGGCGCTGTCGTTCTCGAGGCCGCTGTTTGCGCTGCTGTGTCGGGCGTGTACACTGCGGACCATCATCCGAGAGCGCGTCCGCGAGAAGGAGAGAGAGAGAGAGAGAGGAGGGCGTTCCCTCCTGAGCCAACCCCCCCTAACGTGGCCGCCCGGCTTTCAAATCTAAATCGGCTCGCTGGCGGAAGTTCGGGACGATCCAGGCAGCCCCAGGTCGCCCGCGCCGAGGCGCAGATGCCGGCGAGCATCTCGAGGCAGGAAAGCCGTGGAGAACCGACGAAGACGCCAGAAAAACCTTCGTGTCCCCAATGTCCTACAAGCGGTGGGTCTCGCGAAACCCAACCATACCACAGAACGCAACACTCCCAGGACGGAGCGCGACTTGAGGGCTCCTGGCAACAAAGGAGGATGAGGATGAGGATGAGGATGAGGATGAGGAGGAGGAGGAGGAGGAGGAGGAGGAGGAGGAGGAGGAGGAGGAGGGAGGAGGGGGTTGGGAAGGGGAGGAGGGAGGAGGGAGAAGAGAGTTGGGAGGAGGAGGGGGGGAGGGGGGCGGAGGCGGAGGAGGAGGCGGAGGAGCAGAGGAGCGCGACTTGAGGACGGAGCGCGACTTGAGGGGGGGTGGTCGGGCAACACAGCGAGGTCCAGTCTATGCCCAGACCCCCTGCCCAGGGACGCCCTGGCAAACCTCCTGACGTTACCCCTCCTCCTCCTCCTCCTCCTCCCTCCTCCTCCTCCTCCTCCTCCTCCTCTCCTCCTCCCTCTCCTCCCTCTCCTTCTCCTCCTCCTCCTCCTCCTCCTCTTCCTCCTCCCCCTCCTCCTCTCCTTCTCCTTCATCCTCCTCCTCCTCCTCCTTTCGACCCTTTCGATAAGGGCTCCACGGCGCTGGCCGCGCCGAAGCCCATCACAAGGGCGCCTTCTTGTGGGCGCCGAACGTCTCCTTCGTGTCTTCTTTGCGAAGAGCCCCCTCCCTTAGGCTCGCAAGCTGTGGGGGCGAAACCTTCTCTGGTCAGCATCTTCGTCAGCTTCGAGCTTCCTCCGACCAGGCTGGTCGGCTGCTCGGCCTCGCCTGTTACGCGAGTCAGCGGCACCACTCGGGGGCCTGCCATGGAGCACGGTGCTCCATCTTGACTTCAGCTGGTGAGGGGCTTATCCTCTTCCTCCTCCTCCTCCTCCTCCTCCTCCTCCTCCTCCTCCTCCTCCTCCTCCTCCTCCTCCTCCTCCTCCTCCCCCTCCTCCCCCTCCCCCTCCCCCTCCCTCTCCTTCTCCTCTTCCCCCCCCCAATGGGGCGCCCTCGGCGAGCGGCGCAGACATCTGGCCAGCGCGTGGCCGCGCGGCGCGCGCGGCTCCGAATGCCGGCGGCCTCAGAGGGCTCCTAGATGGGGTCGGAGTAGATGGGGTCGGAGGACCGCGCCGCATCGCCCATACATCGGCGACACATCGGCGATGCATCGGCGATGCAACGCCGATGAGGCGCCGGCGTGGGCGATGCATCGGCGACGTCGACGTGAAGGAAATCGGGCTCCACATCGAGCCGCATCGCCGACGCATCCGCGATGCGGCGCGATCCTCCGACCCCACCTACTCCGACCCCATCTAGGAGGCCTAGACGCCCAGGGACACCCCACGGGCTCGGCTCTCGGGCCAGGGCGACGACGTCGTGGCGTCGTCGTCGTCGTCGTCGCCTTCCGGTTCCTCTTCCTCTCCTCCCTCCTCCTCCCTCCTCCTCCTCCTCCTCTCCTCCCCTCCTCCTCCTCCCCTCCCTCCTCCTCCTCCTCCTCCCTCCCTCCTCCTCCCTCCCTCCCTCCCTCCCTCCCTCCCTCCCTCCCTCCACTCCCTCCCTCCCTCCCTCCCTCCCTCCCTCCCCCCTCCCTCCCTCCTCCTCCTCCTCCTCCTCCTCCTCATCATCATCATTCTGGTTATCCTTTCTCCTCCTGCTTTGTATCGTCCCGTCCTCCTGGTCTGGGTTCACCTCCTCTTGCTGACTTCCTCCGCCTCGTCGTCCTCCCCCTTCTGTCCTCCCCATCTCCGTCCAGTCACTGAGTTTTCCTGGCGCTGGAGATCTATACATCAACTCATGACCCCAGATGGGCTCGGCAAGGGCCAATGATAGTGTGTAGCTGAAAGGTCTCTCCCCTCCTCCTCCAGCTCTTCGTCCGTTCCTCACACACACTCGCCAGACCTTCAACGACTCCCCAAAAACTATCGCGACGGTTTTTGCTAGAAAATCTCTGCCTCCGGGAGTCGTGTTCTGGGTCCGATACCGTCGAAATCTATCCTGGATGATAGCACGTGTTTTGGAAAGGGTCTTGGGCTTTTGGGATCTCACATTGCAACAATCCAGACGTCTGAGGTCTGGATCCACATATATCCTCCTCCATCCCCCTTCCTTACAAATAACTCTTCCTCGTTGTGTCCGTAGGGCAGACCTGGGCGTGTTGCTATTTTGTGTATGCGCAAACGTACAAGTACCTGCATTAAACCACATGTTTCGCGTGCCTATTGCAACTCCCCCTTGTGAGCTTACGTGTGGATGCGAAGGCAATCACGAACTCGCATTGGCGAGCTCCGCTTCAAGCGCGCTGCGGTCTGGTTGCTGCATCCGTACGCACTCATGATAGTTATAGGCACGTTGGTGTTTCGGCGATTACGTGGGCCGCTGTTGTTTTGGCCGAGCCTTCCAGCAAAAGCTGAAAGACGACAAACCGATGGAACACGAGAACAATACGAACACGAAGAACACTGGACATGGATGCTTCCAAAATGGGGGCCTCCCAGGCGGGGCCGGGGGATCGTGCCGCATCGCCAATACGTCGACGAAGCATCGGCGATGCCGGCGGTACACCGGAGGGTGCATCGGCGGTGCATCGGCGACGCCAGCGTTGAGCAAAACGGGCTCCACCTCGGGCCGCATCAGCGATGCATCGACGATGCGGCGCGTCCTCCGACCCCACCTGCGAGGCCTGACGACCGCACGCCTGCGCCCTGCCTCCTGGGGCGCGGGCCCCCCTGGACGCCTCCGAAGCATCTCCGGGAGGCGGCCTGCGGACAGAGGGCGGGGGGCTGCGACGACGACGCCCCTGGCCCAGGGGGGCCCCGGGAGGCCCAGGGAGGCCTCCGCAGCACTCCTCGCGAGGCTCAGAGGGCCCCAGGTGAAGGAGGAGAAGCCCGGGTCGAAGGAGAGACAGAGGCACAGAAATATAAATTTGGAGACTCTCGCGCGGATCTCCTGGATCGGCGCCAGACGCGGTAAATCGACGCGGGTTTCCCAGATTGGATTCCATGGATTGGCGCCGCCAGTGGGGCGCCGATCCGAGAAATCCGCGCGGAGCTCCGACAGCTTATGTTCACGGAATGGTTTCTTCTTCTTCGTGGACTAGAAGCTCCAGAGTTGCGCGACACGCCGTGGACAACCACCCCGGGCCAGGACCCGTCGGCATCGAATCTGCAGGGCGGATCGAATCGAAATGTGCGTCGGCTAGGCACAGGTCGACACGGAGTCAAGAAATCGAATCGGATCAGCCGCGCCAAGACGCGCCACGACGCTGCGCTCACGTCGGGCCGCAGATGATCGACACGAAACCGGGATAGAATCGGGTAGGGTTGGTCGGAATCGACATCGAATCGGAATGATCGGATCAGAATGGAGCCTGCCCGCCAGAACCAATTTGGCGGCGCGCAGGGGGGATATGAGAAGGGGGATGCCTTCTTAGAAAGGGGCTGCTTCTTACAAGGCGCGGGCAATACATCCAAAGAGAAGGCCCGCGCCTTCTAAGAAGCAAGGGTGCTTCTAAGAAGCCTTCCACCCCTCCCGCTACCCCCTTTCTGCGCGTGGCCGACCCTTCCTGCTCGCCAGAACCAATGCCATGCCACCTAAGACCCTCAGCCAGCTTCAGCCTGCCCTGGACCAGGACCGCGTCGGGTCCACGCTGAGGTCGGGCCCGTGCCCCGCAGGGGGACTTCGGAGGAAAACTAACAAATACCTCCAACATGCTCCAGACTTGTCAAAAATAGTGAAACAACATCGTTCCCAGACCTTTTTCAATTCTGTATACTCCTCCTGTAGAGGGCGGGCGGGCCCGACTGCAGGCCACGCCTGGGGCGGGACCGCTCCGACGCTTCTCGAAGAGGCGGCCTCCGCAGGGGCCTCGCCGATCCGGCGGCGGGCCGCCGAAAGATCCCGGCGCGGCGCACGCGCGGCGCGCGGCGCGCGGCGCGCGAGCGGCGCGCGAGCGGCGCCGCGCCCGCCTCGCCGAACTTCGCCTCCAGGGCCCTGCGGCGCTCGTCACGCCAGCCTGTCGTGGGCGGGGCAGGGTTTGGGAGGCAGCGCCTGGGGATCTTTGGGGGAGCGATCGGTGTTGAACATGAACCCGATATGATGACGATGGAGATGATGACGGTGGTGACGGTGATGATGACGATGGCGGTGGTGATGTTGATGCTGATGCTGATGGCGATAATGATGGCGATGGCGGTGGTGATAATGGCCAACATGGTGGTGATGAAAACGCTAGCGATGGTTCAGATCATGATGGTGATAACGGTGGCAATCCTGATGCCGATGATGACGGTGAAAAGAACGATTGCGAATATGATGATGATGGTGATGCTGCTGATGCCGATGATGACGAGAATGGTAATCATCAGGGTGGCGAAGGTGCTCATCATGGTGATCCAGAAACCGATGACGATGATGACGGACATGTGGGTAACGATGCCAATACTGATGACGACGATGGCGGTGATGATGACGCTGACGGATCTGAGGATGATGGTGATGATGATAGGGCTTATGATTATGATGACGATGGTAAGCAGAATATCGTGATTATTCCGATGATGAGGGCGACGATGAATATGATGATTATGCAGCTGGTCATGGTGACGAGGGGATGGATAATGGTGAGGATGACTATAATGACAACGATGGTGATGATGTGGATGACGATGGCGACGGCGGTGAAGTGTAGGATTATTCGTATGGTGATGATGAGTTATGATGATGATGATGATGACGATGATGCTGATGATGGTGACGGCGATGGTATGTGATGTTGATGTTGCTGTTGGCGCTGGCGATGCGGATGATCACGAGGATGGTGATTATGCTGAATTGTTTGAACAAAATTGGGGCTCAGGGGGAAGTGTAAATTGGGTTTCAGTGCCCGAACCCCCTGCCCGCTGGATGGCGGATGCGTGCCGCTGTGCACTCCAGCACGCGCAGGCACCAAAAGGGACAGGGCACCGCACTGCGCGCATTCGGCGGGGCGTGCCGACGCCGAGCTGCAATCCAGAAGTGCGTCGGCCGATGGCCCATGTGTGGCGCGGCGGAATGGCGAAGCAACACTAGACAGCCAAGGCGGAGCAGACCGTCACCGGTCCCAACCACATTCAATTACGAACGCCGCCAATCAAATCGCTCGCCTGCGTGGGAAAGCCTCGTAATTAGTAATACGAACGAACAACCATCCATCGACCAGAGGTGGGGTATACCTCCAACGTCCTCGACCAAATTTGGAAGTTTGTGTGTGGGGCTGGCCTCCAGCGGTTTCAACCATATTCAAAAGAAATGCCACCCAAAACTGCGATAGGTTGGGCAGACCTGCAGCGGTCTCCGCCACATTCAGCAGACACCCATCAGCCTCAGCCGCATTCAAGAGACAGAGAATACCACAGGCGTGGAGCAGAGCACGTGAGATCTTAGCCACACTCCGGAATAAGTAGCAAATCCAAAGTGGAGCAAATCTCTAGCGGCCTCAACCACATTCAAGGCAGATGCGTAGCGACATCTCAATTTCGACTCGCACCAGTTGAGCTTCCAAGTGCTCCGCCCACTCCTGCAACTCCTCTTCCGTATAGCCTGGTGGAGCGCTGCCTCGCAGGTGCCTCGCGCCGACCTGTCGGAGTCCGTCCAACAGGCAATGACGAATCTCGCCGAGGCTCGCCAGGTGCATGATCAGCTTCACCTCGTCTTCCTTCGCCGTCGTCGCCAGCCTGCATACTCGTGCCAACTGCTCCGCGTCCTCGATCTTCTCGCATGCGTTGAAGTCGTCCTTCAGCTGATTGATGTTCTCCTGGCTCTGGCCACCCACGGCGGCTGTCTTTGAGGCCACTTCCAGGAGGGCGCCGAATATGAGTGGATGGGGTGGCCCCAGAGGAGCGAGGTCGCCTTGCGTCTTCCGTTTCTCCCTGTACTCGTCGACGCGCTTCGCGAAGGTTTCCTGCTCCTGCTGCATCGCCACAGTGAACGCGTGACTCTTGGGGAGGATGAAAGTGTCCAGCATGGCGGCCTCCATCAGTCTGATCTTCTGGGCGTTGTTGAGCAGCATCTTGGGGATCAGCGTCAGCAATTTGCGGAGCCCGCTGTCCTACACCTGAGTGTTATGATCCTTCTTGTCGCCCTTGTTGCGCCTCTTGCCTCCTCGACGTGTCCGCTGGGCGGGGGCACCCGCTGCTTCCCTCCTCCCTCTTTCGCCCAGTACCGAGCCATAAGCGCCAGACGCTGGCAAGGATCCCTGGGGGCGCCAATTCGCTCTCACTCGCAGCACCCGCCGAACTGAACACCGTCGCTCGAGGTCTGGGCGCCCTTGCCGAGGAGGGAGGGCATACCACCAGCACGAGAAAGCTTCGGACGGAATGCGATCGGTCAGATATCTCATACAGTCCACTCCGAAGCCGCAGGGTGTACTGGGATGTGCGTACGGATATGTCGCCGCAACATCTCGTTTGAACCAAAAGACAGCGGACGAGTCGGGTCAGGTGGCACCTGTCTATTTTGCTGCTGTGATCTTGCGCTTGCCTTCGTTCGTTTCGTAATCGCCGTCTTGAATCGGCGATCTGCGTCGGGGACGCCCGGCCCAGGGCGGCCGGAGAGTCTGCGCCCCGACGCGCAGCAGGAAACAAAGTAAACGCAGCGGCAACAACAGACAGCACTACCAGCAGATGCCAGAATTAAACAACAATAATACAGAAAGCAGACAAAGACGCCGTCCCCGACGGTGGAACAAGTCATGACACCCATCTTCGTCGGCGGTTCCAGGAGCACTCCCGGCCTCCAGGTGCTGGGCGTGGCTGAATGGGGGGGGTCATACAGGAGGGGTCAGGAGCGGTCCCCGTTCGTGCCCCTTTCGGGCCCCTCTGGAGCCCCAGGGGGCTCGTTGAGGTACCGTTTGGGTACCTTTTCGGACCACCCTCGCCGCTCCCCCACTTATGACCCCCCATTGCGCAACGCCCAAAGGTGCCCTTCCGAGAAGCCTCTGGCAATCCCCCTTCTGGCGCTCCGCCACGTGGTTCTGCCCCGTGGTGCCCCTGCCTTCTCGTGCCAATCTGTACATCCTGGAGCCCCCTGGGCCTCGTGAGGGATGCTCTGGAGGCCATCTGGGCCTCAACCGGATAGTTAAGCTGGGGTTGCCCTGGGACCAGGGCCACCCCTGGCCACACTCTGAATGGAGAGGGAGGAGGCCAACATAGTTGTCCGTCCTCTCTGAAGTCCGACATGCCGATTTCGTGTCTGGATGCGGGCATTTTCTTTGATCTCGGCCTCCGCAGAGCCATTCCGTCAAAACAGATGCTTCATTAAAAATCAGTTCCCGAGAAAAGGGTTCTTGTAGAGACCACTGTGTGGCCAGGAGGGGCCAACGGCAATGGGGAGGAGGAGCGAGGAGGGTGGATGACACGAGGAGGAACAAGGCGGACGAGAACAAATATGGACATGAAAGGGGACGGGGGATGGGACAAAAACGAGAGGAGGGACCGGGAGGGGGGAATGAGAAGAAGGGGATGGTGGAGGACAAATGAGGGGCGGGGGGCTGAGGAGAGGGCGGACAGACCAGGCGAGCTCGCACCATGTCTGACATCCAACCCCTCCCGTCCATCCCCTCCCACTGCGCTGACTGTTTTCACGCTCGCCGACGGGTGTCCTCGCGGACCTGGATCCCCCAACCAAATGACCCCTATCGAGCGACGAGCAATCAGGGAGGGGAGCTGCGGACATCTGAGGAGGTGGCAGACGAGCAGCAAGGAGGACCAGGAGGAAGAGGATGATGAGGAAGGAGGAGGTGGAGCAGCAGCAGCAGCAGCAGAAAAGCAGGAGCTGAAAGGGCGGGAGGAGAGAGAGAGAGAGAGAGAGACAAGCAGGGGCATTCTGAGCAGGGGAAGGGATGGGGGCGACTACGACGAGGATTCATCGGATCCAGAAATGTGGCCCCAGGGGGGAAGGGACAGTAGTAGTCGTTTTGAGCAAGGGTGAAGGGAAGGCTGATAAAGCCTAAGGAAGAGGGAGGAGGAGGAGGAGGAGGAGGAGGAGCGAGGTTGAGGGAGAGAGGAGGGTGGAAGGGTGAAAGGGAGGGGGAGGAGAGGAAGAGGAGGGGGAAGGAGGAGAAGGAGGCACGGATGTGGAAGGAGGGAAGAGGGAACATGGGGGAGCAGCGTGGAGCAACAGGGACAAGCCGAGGTACCCGCGCCACGTGCCCTGTCCAGGAGGCAGTGTCGGCGAGGAGCAGGCCGCGGCACCGGAGCCGCAGGCACTCTTCTCCTGCAGCAAGCTCGGCCCAAGCTGCCTCTCGTGTCGGCGGCCTACTACTGAATCCGGTGGGGTCCAGAACGGGGAGGCTAGGACGAATCTACATAGAATGTAGAACGCGAACAAACTGCATAAACATGAACTATCGGAGCTCCGTGCGGATCTCTTGCATCGGCGCTGAACCCCCTACCTGGCGCGCGGAGCCCGCCAAGGGGGTCCCGCGCAGCTCCAAGAAATCCGCGAAGACCGTCGAACATTGATGGCTATGCCCTTTTCCTCTCTCTTCAACAAAAAGTGGATCGGAACATCGGGTCGACTCGGAATGCGCGTCGGTTCGGGCTGCATCGGCACGGAATCGAAAGCAAATCGGGCAGGCTGCGCCAGGGTACACAACAACGCCATGTAAACATCGAGCCGCATCGTATCGTCGGAATACCGGCATCGAATCGGATCGGTGTGACTGGAATCGGAATCGAGTCGGATCGATCAGATCGAAATGGACCCTGGAGGATGAGCAGGCGGGAGAGTATTACTACTTCATCAGCGCAGCATCCATCAACCGATCATTGCAGGGCAGAATACGCACGAAGTTCCTCTTGGAGGCGGCAACGATTGGATCGCAGCCGCCCAAGGCTCATGGTAACATGTATGCCTGAAGTGCTCAAGGCCAGCCTCGCTGGTACGGGGCTGAATGTGATGTGTGAGCATGTGGGAAAGCAGGGGGATGAGGAGGAGGAGGAACAGGAGGAGGAGAAGGAGGAGAAGGAGGAGGAGGAGGAGGAGCAGGAGGAACAGGAGGAGGAGGAGGAGCAGGAGGAGGAGGAGCAGGAGGAGGAGCAGGAGGAGGAGGAGGAACAGGAGGAGGAGCAGGAGGAGGAGGAGCAGGAGGAGGAGGAGGAACAGGAGGAGGAGCAGGAGGAGGAGGAGGAGGAGCAGGAGGAGGAGGAGGAACAGGATGAGGAGCAGGAGGAGGAGGAGGAACAGGAGGAGGAGGAGGAGGAGGAGGACGGGGGAAGGGCAGGACGGTCGCCTCGAGCCCCGACGTCCACATGCGAGGCGGGGATGTGTCCATATCCACCGTCCGGGAACCGGCGTCCTGGTGCCCCCCGCAGGCGGTGGATCTGGAAAAAGGTTGGCCCCCGGGGGCCCGAATACGGTCGGGGCGTTGACCTAAGGAACCCTAAATAGGGAACGAGACCCCTTTTTTCCATAAGTTCAACCTCGATGTCCTATGGAAAATCTCGGGAAAACCCGAGGCAAACTTTGAAACAATCAAGGAACACCGAGCCCCTCCCCAACCGAAAGGGTTCCTTCTTCAGAACCCCGACTGTATATCCATATCCACCGCCTGCCGAGGTCCCCGAAAAGTGACCCTCCAGGCGGTGGCCATGCAGAAATTCCCGCCTCGGAGTCCAACCCCGAGCCGCTCCTCCCGCAGCCCCCCGGAAGCAGGAGGGGCAGCCTCGTATCACGTTGTTGGCCCCGTCATTGCAAGGCTCCATCAATTCCTGCCCCGCCCTCACGCGACCCCCCATGCTGCGGCAGCCGTCTTCGCTTCTGCATCGGTGCCGTCGCCGTCGGTTGTCGTCGTCCTCGACGTGGTCGCGGTTGTCCTCGCCCGTCGAACCCGCCCTCGTCGTCACTGCACCCTTTTTCCTCAACCCGCTCGTGCTGCCCAACTGCTATTGTGTTGCCGTGTACGTGGCCTGGTGGCTACAATCCCGCATGTACCATTGAGCTGGTAAACATCTCCGAACTCAATATCAACACGCCCGTCCATCGTGCACACACTGCCATTCCCGGTCGGGACGATGAAGTTGCCTGCACGTTCGATGACCAGATCAGTCGCCACACAACTTATCCATGAATGCGTTTACCAGGGCAACCAAGATGTTCTCCATCGCTGTTCCCACATCAGGGACGAAGAAGGAACAACCGCATGCTTCGTTCCTTGCTTAGCGTTCCTGATTGCAGCAACCCTTCTGTATGCTTAGGCCGCGTGTTCTTCTTGCATTCGAGGGCCCGCGACAGGGAGCGCAGCTATCCACAAACGACGCTCGCAGCGTAAACAAGCAAGCGCAGGGAGGTACAGTAGGGGCCAGTCCACAAGAAACCCTCCACAAGAAACTCAACCCTAAGACCCCAGGACGTCCATGGACTTTGTGTGGGAACGTCGCGCTTCCCATCGCAAAACTATCGGAACCCCAAAACCCAGGGCACCCTGGAGGCAAGCAGGGTGTTTCTTGGTATGGACCCCCACTGTACCGCACTTGCCCCGGGCGGCTGGCAAAACATCTTGGGGCGCCTCCGCGCGGACGCCGCTCGGCTGGACCCCCCCCCGAGGGCGCTACAAAGCAAGCTGGGGCAGCTGTGCGGATGGTGGCACCCCGGGGCAAGCGAGGTCTCGTTTGTCATGTCGCACCTCTGGGGGATCTCGTCTGTCCCATCGCGCTAACCTTAGGTCGGGCATGTCCCCCTACAGGCGGAGTTTGGACGAAAAATAAAACATGGTCAGCACATATCAACAAATATCCAAAATAATCGAAACACCGCCCCCAGACTATATATCAGAGTGAGGGGGCCGAACGGTCATTCACTGTCCCTCGGTGCGTGGCTGAGATGGGGATCCACGGCGAAAATGATGCTTGTTTTGTTGCGTCGTCCTCCCCGCGATCTGGCCCGCAACCCACCCGCGACCCACCCCACGACCCATCCGCGACCCACCCCGCGACCCACCTGCGACCCACCCGTGACCCACCCCGCAACCCACCCCGCGACCCATCCGCGACCCACCCGTGACCCACCCGCGACCCACCCGCGACCCACCCGCGATCCGGCCCGCGACCCACCCGCGACCCACCGTCGACCCACCCGCGACCCACCTGCGACCCAGTCCGCGACAGACTCACATTGTTTTAACAAAACAATTGGCGACTGCGGCGGGCTCGTTGTATAGTTTTGACTGCGTAGGACCCCGCAGATGCGGGTAAGAGGGGGCGGTGGGGACGTCGGCAGTTTGCGAGACTCTGAAGAAGCCCGCCGCAGGCGCCAACATTTCACAAGTTATACAACGAGCCCGCCGCAGGCGCCGACTTTTTCGTTAAACCAATGTGGGTAGGTCGCGGGTGGGTCGTGGGTGGGTCGCTGTTGGGTCGCGGGTGGGTCGGGTGGGTCGCGGGTGGGTCGTGGGATGGGTGGGGGGTGGTGGGGGTGCGGGGGTGGGTGGGGGGTGGGTGGGGGTGGGTGGCGGGGTGGGTCGCGGTGGGTCGGGTGGGTCGCGGGTGGGTGGGGGGTGGGTCGCGGGGTGGGTCGCGGGTGGGTCGCGGGGTGGGTCGCGGGGTGGGTCGCGGGGTGGGTCGCGGGTTGGGTCGCGGGTTGGGTCGCGGGTGGGTCGCGGGTGGGACGACGACAACAAACAAAGAAACAAACAAAAAAACAATAACGTAACAAGCAGAGTCCTCACCACGGATCCCCACTTCAGCCACGAACCCAATAACAATGAATGACCGTTCGGCCCCCTCGCTCTGATTTTGAAGATCCCTCCTTTAGACAGACACACCCGACTTAAAGCTAATCATCCGTGTCGCATCCAAGCCGGATCCATGTTGAATGAGCCGAGACCGTGTCGACTTCACGTCAAACATACGTCGGCGTACAAGGAATTGCTGCCCCCAAAAGATGCGAAGTGACGTCTGGGTCTGCGTGTGATACCTGATGAAATAACTTTTGGAAAAACTTCGTAAGAACTAGCAACAAATACCAAACCCGATGAAGTTACCATAAAGCCGGACGAGCCCAGAGTAAGCCCTGGATGTAACCCTGGATGCAGCAAGTGCAAGCGGGATGCAGTAACGGGACCGTGCCGAATGAGACCGTTTGTCAACCGCGTATGCACCAGCGTCGAGGCCGAAGTGAACCTCCTAAGAGCTGCATCCTACGAGGCCATAGCGCTTGACCCCGTGGGCACCGGGAAGCGGCGACACAGGAGCGCCTGGCAGCACCCAGGGAGGGCAACGTCTCAGCTGGATCTGTGCAAGTCGCCCCTCCACTGGACCGCCCAGGGATGCAGGGAGGCGGCGGCAGCTGCACGAGCTTCCATGCCAGTGGCTCCAGGGGGATTCGAAGCTTGAGAACACAGCCTCCGCGGGCACCCTCGTCGCCGCAGCTGGCTTCGCCTCGACATTCTGGTCCAACCGCGCTCCAGGAGAAGAGTGAGGCGAGTCCCAGACCGCCTGGAGATTCAGAAGAATTTCGG